GATGAGTTATCGATATGTCCGGTTCTGCGTATCCATCGAATCTACTGCACCGTTCTCCTGCAGCGACGTGCTGTATCCTGCGAACTTCACAACAGACATCTCGTGGTCTGGTGGACTGGATGGGGGGTCCGTTTTGTTCGAGTACGTCGGACAGCTCACGTGGCTTGCAGGGTTGCTCGGCCGGGGTGGACAAATGCAGACGGATTTCGGAGTCTCCTGCTGCAACTGGTTGACGACAAATCGTGGCCACGTTCGGCGTGGACGGCGCTTGTCTTTTAAACGCCGGCCATGTGTCAACCCGTGTCGAAAATGTGGTCAGAATGTGGAACTTTGCCGACCTCAACTCTTCGAATATCATATGCATTTTTTCTCCTTCCGTCAACTGCAGGATAACAGGTTTGTCGTTAGAAGCCATCGTACACATATGATATTATGACTTGAGCGCGACAATGATATAAAAATTAAATACTGGTGATGTACAGAACATTACTATACGCACGTAGATGCTTTGAGGTAGCTTAGCTAGTAAGTAGTGATCAAAACGTCAAAATAATTTTCGAGAGACAAACATAATTTATACTAGTCAAATCTATCGTGACGATGTTTTGTTGATTTTTTATCGGCCAGAAAAGTATTAGGGACTCCATTAAATATTATTATTAATGCATTGATTTAAAATTTAAAAAAAAAAAAAAATGTTTTGATTATACGACCAAGACAAAAGAATTATCTCAAATAGTGTATTATATGTTTATAGGTACAACTTATGGCTGTATTAATTATAGTCTATTAAATATAAACAAAGTGTATTTATAATTAATACTATTTGCCTTACATAATATGCACATCATTGCCCTTTAAAAATGCCAACTCTATATGAGACTCGCTTGTGATAATGTGATCAGTATATTATCAACTAGGCTATCCGCATGTGGTGGATTGCGGACCCCGCTAGGTGCAAGGTGCACACTCTATATGAATAATATGTTTAATTTTAATTTTATTAATTATTTTGATCGAGTACATGCTGATGAGCGGCTATAAGTGTACCTCAGCTGACAGCCACTTTAGTAGGCAATGTACTAAAATTAGAATTGATGCATGCTTAAACCTGATCTGCTCGATTAACCAATGTCACCCGAAAAATTAAAAAAAATACCAAGTTCTACTAAAAAATTAAGAAAGTTGAGAGTAAAATTAGTAATTAATTAAAATAAACTTGTAAATTGTATACCTATAATATGTTGTATGACACGGCGGCCCGTGGGTGACTTAAGTTTGTTTAAAATTTTAAGCATAATTGCTTGAAGTAACCATGACGAACAAACATTTATCAAAAAATTCACCGTAAAATTTTTCATTAACCTTCCGATTGATTCCACTTTAAAATGAGCAATAAGAAAGTATAAATGAACTGTTTTATATCGTAGATGAAAGATAGATAAATCTGTTTAAAATGATAAGCAATAAACGTGATGCCTCGACTAAGGGAAATAGGGATTTATTTTCATGTACATTGATAGATATAGATAGATTGTAGAACTTTACTTCTCAGAATAATTCATATCTACTAACCGATCAAACACATATAGTTAGACGGACAAAAAGTTATGGTTGCATGTCGCTTTGAAAACCCACATTTCGCCGTGCTGTAGAATATGTATATAGATATACAATTTGTGCGTAAGCAATTTATTTTTGACGATTTCAACCCTTTAAAATCAAAATTTTGAAAAATCCTTTCTTGGTAGAACTTGGCATTATAATACTAATCCATTCTCAAAATTTCAATTCGATAACTCAAATAAGTTCGGCTCTGCGTTGATTATTGCTAAAGTAACTTTCTTTTATACATAGAGGTTTTAGGTTAAAATTGGAACGGTTAGGTTAGGTTAGTAACTGCATACAGTTACAATTTTAGTCATCTTGTTATAATTTAAAATATTTTTGTTTTTGAACTTAAGCGCGGTGACTAAGGCCGGTCATTCGCTGTTGTAGGGGTTATGAACTGTGGTAGGGGTAAGTTTGGTACGGTAGGTTGTTGTTACGATTGTTACGGTTGTTATGGTAGGTAGCAAACACATGTATGTGTGGCAAGGTTTTTAACTACTATGAACCCGGCTGGTCACCCATCCGGGAGATAGTAGCTGTGGCCGTTACTTACTTCCAGTCACCTTCCGCGACGTAGCAGCCAACGCGTCACGCCAGGACACATTTAAAATATTATTCATGGGTTTTTGAAACTTTTATGAATACTATTATATTTTATAAGCACTATGATATTTTTAAATGCAGTGTTTACAGCAGAAATTTATTCAGTCTACTGAATTAAGTATTATCGTACTAATAATAACTAATGGTTAAATTAATTAATTTAATATCAATAATTTACTATTATTATGAAATATACTAATATTACACATTTGTAAATATAATATGTTTGTAGCAGTTTATATACTATACCTAGTATACGTAAATAATAATGATTATTATTTTTATGTTTGAGGATAATATTGTTATTACTTACGAGTATACAGCACGAGAAAAATAATTACAAAATTGATGATGAAATCAATAGTGTTTTGAACAATCTACTTTGTTGTGAAATCTGGTGGTGCACAGTAGTAGGCTGCAGTCACTAATGTGTGTTGTTACAAATTGCAAAATAATTATTATGATTTCATATAAATTTCTTTATTGTATTTTATTTTGTAGTTTATGACCTGTGAAAACCTTTTCTATTTACATTTAAAATTGAGTAACTACTATTGTAATATATTAGAAGTAAAGTTATGTGATTAAAATTAAAATACTAAAATATTTATACTCAATCGATTTTAACAAAAAACAATTGAGAATGTTTCAACTGAAGCAATACGAAAACAGTAGATATAATATTTGATTATGATAAATATTCGGCATATGCAGATATTATTAGTCGGTTTATAACTAAAAGACGCATATGAGCCGAATTGTTTCACTTATAATTTGAGATCCTATAAGCTCAATAGTCACAGCTATTGTATTCCTACATAGAAAGCCAAAAGTGTTCAGCTGAGGCTTATAGAATAAAAAAAAAAATACTCGAATCATTTATCATATCAGTTAAGATAATATTAAAATCGTAAGTGCATATTCGTGTATTTCTGCAAACAATTTATTAATCGTTATAGAAAAAAAGTTACAGATTAGGTACTATCCGCCAAAGGTGGATTGCCGTAATAGGTTTCATTGATCCCTGGGTAATATAACTAGTATTATGATATTATAATATGTTCGTATTTATGTTTTATAAAATATTATTATATTTCTGTTAAGTAATTTCCTGATTATATCCTCACAAAATTGTATTACTAAAAAGGTCCTTGAGTTAAATGTACTACATGAAAATAGATATCTTAAAATGTTGTGTACAATTCGCAATTTTGTCCCTTTGTTGGGACCAGCACAAATTTGCCCAATTAATCACATCCTTAAAGCATGATTTATAGGACGTGGTGTACACGCTGTTTAAAGTGATTTGTATTGCTATGCTCCTTTTTATAAGTGTGTTTCATTCATATAATTTATTAGTTAAATGATAATATATATATATATATATATATATTTGAGGTGAGAAGCTAGCCTTGATAATAATGCTGTTTATAGTGCTTTGCCAAAAAAAAAATTATATTTGAAAATGAATTATTCTACATTTCGAGGTTCTACATTTGTTAAAATAGCAATACAGAATTTCCAGTTCTTTCCTAAATTTAACCGTTGGAGGAGACTAACGAGTCTCAGGAATTACGTCTCGAAAAAGGTAAATAGCGTTGCGGGTCTTGTGGACGCATTCTAACACCGTAGACCATAGTATAAAAAATATTACAACATATTACAAAATCATAAAAATGAATAGAATTTGAATTAAGTAAATTATGTTAATAATGCAAACATTTTTTTTTTGTAGTACATCGATACACAGACAAACTTTTTATTTTAATATTATTAGTAATAAACTTTCATACATTATTTTGTTTTATTTTTTGTAGCTCAAGTAAGAAAGGTGAAATCGGTATCATTTAATCATTGATTCTGGCCAAATTGATGAATTTGAATAGCTAACCACAGACAAAAAAATTATTTAGAACTTAATTTAACTTAAATTTCTTGCACTATTTAACTATAAAAATTGCAAAAGGAACTAAAGGTAGTGTACAATATAACGTTAATAGGCTCAAACAATGAGTGGAGATCAGTGGCGCCCAGATAGGTTAGCAAGGGGAGCAACTGCATGTGCTCTAGTGGGAGGTTGATGGGTGGGTGGGTAGGTATAGACACCTATCATGGTTATAGATACATAAACAAAGTATATTTTAACAGTTAGTAACAATTCAAAAAAAATGGGTAGATTGGTAACTTTTGTTAGTTGCATGTGCTCTTAAAATACCTCTGTGCGCCACTGGTGGAGATAAAAAAAAAAGTAAACAGTCGTAATAATGCTCTAAAGTGTTTGGTCAACAGTCATAGCGAAAACATGAGATAGCTCCAGATATCTTATTTTTTGAACACTTCAAAAACATTTTAATGAATAACATATTATTGAACTAGTATCTTTCATGTTCAGATACATTTGTAAACAAATCCTGTCATTACCCATATTGTTCAAGAAATTGAGTTGATTTTACACAGACAACTTCGATTATGATAGTCTATAGTCGATGTTATAGTAAAATGACATACTGTAAATATGTAAATATTTTAAGTACCTAGTATTATTATTAAACAACGTTACTACAGCGTTTAGATATAATAATATAAGAATAAAATTATATAAAAACGGAAATTATTATTATCATTATAACTATTATTGTAAGTATTATATAAGTAGGAATGTATGAGGAAATATTCATCAATTCACATTATTTTTTAGACCATAGAATATTGAATTATTTTTTAAAAAGAAAAAAATCATACAAGGTTAGGTTAGGTTTAAAATGAAACATACAAACTGCAATAAACAAATATAATGTAACTTCCTATTATTATTTGTACGTATTACAACATTAAATTAGTTCTGAATATAACAAGTATTTACAATCTAAATAAATATTTATTTTATTTTATAACTATAAACTAGAACGTAACATAATATGTTAATAATATAATTTACAGAGTAGGATAGTTTTGTTGCCGAGTCTAATTAGGCAGAATTCGAATTATGTAACAATTTCAATCGTCTATCGAATTTGAATGAACTATACTTAATGTTTCGTCCATAGATAATTCCCTCATTGGTTTTTCATTCTTTTTTAGGTAATATTGTTCTGAGTTATCGAAGGATTGCAACTCGCCAGATCCAAATATCTGATACACCACAGATGATGCAGTCATCACTATCATCATAATCCAAAATACAAGACGCCACTCTAAAACAGTTCTCTGAAAAAATAAAAAATAATAGAGTTACACTTATTTACATCCAACATTTGGGTATAATAATATTGAATAACAATGTATCAATACTATTAACACTATATTATTTATTCTTGTGATTTTTTACAACTTCAGTGGTTACAAAAGTATATAATAGTATTACAAAGCTATTCATTTTATTAAACAATGTACATTGTATGTGTATATTATTTTAAAAATGATAATATAAACACTCGCCAAAACTCAACGAGAATCAGTGCACATTTTGGCGTCACTTAGATTTGTACTTTTCAAGTCAATGAGACACATCCAAAAGTACATTGATTTTTATATTTAAAGATAGTACTAAAATTATTCTTAGTGAAATCATAAATAGTGAACCTCATATATCATCAACCTACATTTGGTGTGAGAATTCCAGCGATGTATGGAGTCGCCATTCCTGATAAACAACCAATACCATTTACAAGTGCCATTATAGTAGGAGAATAATTGGGTGACAAATCGAGTGAATTGACTCGGATACTGGGATAACAGAATCCCATTAATGCCATACCCAAAGTAAAACACAAAGTTGCAACCATTTTGTCACATCCGACAAACGAAGCACACATAACACCAACACCAGGTCCGACATTTCCTGAAACCATAATATTATTTGTCAATTATTAGCATTTTTAAGACATTAGTCTTCACATCCAAACTCACCTATAATAGAGAAACTTTTTCTGACCGAAGTGACACTCATTATTCGTTTGCTTATCAGCCAGTCAGCTAATATACTAGCTAAAATCGACGTAACCCATTGGGCGATGTATGGGAAGGACGATGATAAACCGTTCTATAAAAAAAAACGTTTTAAATATTAGTCTAAGGTTCAGAGTAGTAAACAATACTGTGTTAATATTATACTATAGGCCTTACCTATTCAAACTCTACACTTTAATTTGCATTGTAAACTATACGCAATCGAAATCTCAAAAGTGGATTAAACTAACCTCACTAATGGAAAAATGTAAGACGTCACTCATATATTTTGGGAGATCGCTGATAATTGTATAAGCGCCCCAGTCATGTCCTGCTTCGACAATAATTAGTGCCCATACTGGCCACGACGTTAATATAGACATCCATGGTGTGGAGGGCAAATCCTATTATAACCAATTCAAATATTAAACAATGATTCATGTTAGGCACAAGTATATCGTTAGAAAAAAATTGCTATATCCCGTCCATCGTAACATTGTAAGTACCTTTTGCCTTTCCAGACTTCCTATCGACTCTTTTAAGTAGTCACGCTCAGCTTTTGATATAAAAGGATGAGAGTTAGGGTCGTCGTAAACCAATATACACCAGAGAACAAACCAAATTAACGAGACTATGCCAAAAATGTAAAAGACGTTTGGCCAACCACCGGGTATATATTGTATGATTAAACCACTCAAGAAATTTGAGAAAATATTACCAATTTGCACACCTGTTGAGTACGTCATAGCATTATTATTATCATCATCATAAGTTATGTCAACTAACTGCTAGACAAACATGAAACCTATTAATCCATGTTTGTTTTTTGGTTTTTTTTACGTTACCTGCAAATATCAGTGTGGAGAGTTTTCCCTTTTCTTCAGGTGGAGCCCACTGTGCTAAGAGAGTACAAAGAGCCGGGAACATAGTGCCCTGGATAAAAAAAAATTGCAAGTTAGTCACCAATTTTATTTTAGTCATGTTTTGTGTCAGTCCCCATCATTACTTCACCGAGTCCTTCTAAGAATCGCAAGACGGTGAGTGACCTGGTACCCATGTACGCTACATACGGAGTCATCAGCGTGAAGACTGCGGTGGAAAGTATCCCTAAGCCCATGGTGTGCTTTCCGCCGAACCTCTGGGATAAGATGCCTCCTGGTAAGTGGGTGAGGATGTAACCATAGTAGAACGACGATAGGATTTCACCCTGCGTCTTCTCGTCCCAATCGAATCGGTTCTTAAACTCGTCCTCGGATATTTCTGTTCTGTTGGACTTTGGTTGGCCATGTGACGATGACTGGGGCATCGGGCAGTAGTCATGACGAACAGACCTTTCGCCTCCGTCTACCACCACCACGGGCCTGACCATTTGTGTGAGCGTTATGCTCAAGCAGGCCCGCATCACGTATGCTATCGTGACGCCCATCATACCCATCAGAGCCATCACCCATCTCTGAGAACCGTGTTCTGTAACGGAAAAAATGTCATCCGTTAGTCGTCAGGTCACGATGTTGAAATGTCTTCCACAAACTGAATGGTCATTTTGAATCAAACTAATACAAACGTCTTTCGTTAAAATGATAGTTTGTGCACGATGCATTATATTATATCCTACAATTTGGTGGACAAGTGAATAATAGATGATTATTATTTATTTCATTATTATACAGGGTTGTCCATAATAAACAAAGAAAATAATAATATAAAATTTTAATAAATATATATGGAAACAATGCGCTTCAGGTGTTCAAATGAAGACGTTTAGTGGAGAATCGTTCGTGATATTTTAATTTTACTTTTTTTAATAAATTAAAATATAATATTATGAATGTGACAGTGTTAAAATAATAGATAACACAGTTTAATTTAACCTATCAGCACATTTTTATCTATTTAAACGCTATTATGTGTTTATTTTATAACTATTCTTTCTTTATTAAAAATAATTCATAAAGATGAACATTTTAATACGGGTTGTAAGGAATTTTTTTTAAATAACACTGTTTTTGCACAATTGTATTGTACGGTATTGATAACATTACACCAAATATATTAATTGATCATCTATGTCTTAATATAAAAACATAATATTTTATCATTTGACAGATAGCAGAAAGGTTACTTACTTGAATTCAATTTCATAGTGGTATAGGTAACTATAATAGTCACCTTAGTGTATACTTGTATAAGCTAGAATTAATAACTTTAAACAGAATTTTCTGAAAACCGACGAGTCTGGTAAAAACGTCTAGAAAAATATTTAAGAATCCGAAAACTTTCACATGGGTGTTACTGGTTAGTGTTTCGTATACCTATATACCTAATACCATCTAAGTAAAGACAACACGTTTAAAATTATACAAATTAAAACATTATACAATTATTATAAATATACGTATATAATATATTATATATATATATATATAATATGTGCCCGTGGAATAAATCCGTCGACTGTTGCAGCTAGTGTGCAAGACGTCTTTAAACGAAAACTTCCGTCTGAGCACTATTAACCGTCCAATCGAGACACAACATAATACCATGACATTATTATTAGGTGATTACTCACTCAAGTGAGTAGCTGGTGATTAAGACGTTCACTCTTTTTATCGTATTCCAATTGTCTTATCTGAATATTTATCATTGGAATTATGTTTGTGTCAAACTATGTGTTAACATTTATCCGCAGGCACATTGTCAATACACGATATATTGAAAATAAAAAAAAATATTTGTATGCTTTCAATACGTTGAAGGACTTATTGTCAACAGTGGGCACTTACTTTAATTAAGTAATTAATTAATTTAACTACTGAATTACTTTTGTTTTAAACTTATAACTTACTCTTTTAACATTATTATTTGTATAACTTAGCTTATAATTACATCATTGTCGTACAGTTAAGTTAATTTTCTTTTCGTATCATACTAGAGTACTAGACCAACAGATAAAACTGATATTTTTCCGATTTTCGTCATTCATTTTCTAATAATATGAATATCATTATAATCTGATATTTGCATAGTGTCAAACGTCTTGATAAATTAAGTTAGTCTAAATTAAAATTTTGGGACACTTGATAACTTCTAAATATTGTGACTTGAAAAAAAAATTTTTTTTTTTAAATTTAGTTTAGTTTATTTTGAAGTACATTTTTTCTTTTTTAACTTTTAACTTTTAACTCAAGGCGATTTAATTGAATTAACTTTACTTGCCACAGTTAATTGTTTCATTATTTGCCTGACCTTGCATATAATATTAATCACTTGGAGTACTTAGTTTGTAAATTAAGATATCGTACGTGATTTGGTAATATATAAATTATATATAATACATTTTTTATATACATTTGTATAAAACTAATGTCGACGATGACGTAGGAGTAGTAAAGGATATGAACATGTGTGTGCGTGTCGCGAATGGTTGTCTTGTTACTTTATGGAATATTTATAATAACTACTTAATTAATTAAAACTATGAATTTTTCGTATTAAATGTTCTATCGTATAAGATCACAATTTTGTTTCAAAAAAAAAAATCATGCAAATCGGTGCGGACTGATCTAGCGAGCTGATCACACAAATAATAATTAAATGCATTCCCATTTATAGCTTTAAAGAAAATTATATTTAGTGATATTATTAATGTATACCTAACATATCTTATTTGTTGATATGAAAATGTAATGGGTACATTGCAAATGAACATTAATATCAAAAAATATTTTAAGTAATAGTCACTACTTATTATTAAACAACTTGAATATATAGCGTTTAGGCATATATGATGATAAAATTAGAGAGCTGATTTTTATGCATTAAAAACCAACCAAACATGCGCTAAAAAAAAACCCTAAATATGTATAACTATATCCACTAAAATGTTAAAATATGCACGAAAATAAAAAATATGCATAAAAAGGATTAGCAAAAAAATTAATTTCTTAAACATTTTATTATTACAATATATTTAAAAAAATTATCGAATCCAACTATAAATACTTATCTACTTTACTTTTTTTTTCTTTTTTTTGTGTTTAATTTTAATCTATAAGAAAAAAATAGGGATCAATTTATATCAAAAATGTATCATAAAATAAATTTACTTTCCTAAATGTGAATTGCATTGTATGAAATCATTTTAGCTATATGTAGCTTATTATATAATAATACTGTATATTTCGAATATGTGTAGAAAAAAAAAACATCGAAAAATGCACTAAAAGATGAAATATGCTATTAAAATTGTAAAATTTGCCCTTAAAATAGGAAAATATCAAAATATACAAAAATAACTATGTGCTAAAAAGTTTCATTTTTTAAATTGTTGTCATGAAACAAATTTTTGCTCATTTGGCACATCATACGATCAACCAGAATACATTTTCAAATGCATACAGTTTCGTGCTCTAATGATAATAAAACTTTAAAATTATATTTCAGACAGAAATTATTATTATTATTATTATAGTTGTTCTTGTATTGTACAACGAGTTAGAAAAATATGAGAAAATTATAATAATCTCACATTATTTTATAAATAATAAAATCATGAGTTATTTTTTAATAAAAATTTAATTTTCATCTAATTTAAAACAAATTTAATTTTCCTGATGTTCGAATGTGATATATCTTTCGATTATTATTTTTAAACATCAAAATAATAAACTGTTTCTAAATATAACAAGTATTAACAACCAAAATAAATATTCACATTATATAATACTAATATAAGCTAATAGGTAACATATTATATTAATAATATTATTTACAGTGATAGGATAGTTTTTAATTTGTATAACTAATCAATAATTAGTCAGGATTCGAATTATTTGACGATTTTCCATCTTCTATAGATTTTGAATGAACGATACTTATTCTCTCATCCATAGGTAACCCTTTCTTTGCTTTTTCCTTTTCTTTTAGATAATATTGTTCTAAGTCGTCCCATGGTTGCAACTCGCCGGATCCAAATAGCCCATACAGCACAGACGATGCTGTCATTATTATCATCATAATCCAAAATACAAAACGCCACTCTAAAACTGTTCTCTAAAAAAATAATTTAATAAACTATTAGACACTTATTTACATAAAATATTTGTATTTAATATTGAATGGCAATATATCAATATTCAATACTATTAGCCCTACATGTAGACATGCAATAATTTGTAACGCCAGTGGTTACGCAGGAAAACAATAATATTCCAATAATCTTTATTTTACTAAACCACTAAATTAATTTTTAATTTACTGTTATATACTATTATTATCTAATGTATACTTTAAAATACCATAGTAAACTTATATCATATTTAGTGTACAAAAAATATATTCATACTGTAATATATTAAAAAATTTTAAAGAGATGATTTTTAAAAACTATATATTATTATTATATACTTTATAGTTTATACAATTTAAAATATAAGGCTGTGATTTTTCATTTGTACTCAATTCAGTTAACAAATAATATTTCTTCATCTAATAAGGGTGGATTGAATTCAATAAAAATTTGCTCAAATCGAACAAGTCTATCTTAACAATGGCCAGTATACCAAACATTAGGTACGTTTAATACCAATCAGAAACGGAACAAGCTTTTGAGTTAAATTAAGAATCAATCCTTTTAGTTTTATGTCAAACGAAAATATAGCATTATTGTTCGAAACGTATGACGTGAAGAATGATATAAGTATCAACTATTTGATCAATTCATTTTTTTTTTAAGTTGCGTGATTTTGTACATGAACCAAACACCTAAGGTTTGGTCTGATTTTCTGAATTTCGAACAATTCTCACCTCTAGAACCCACCTCTAGTATATATTATGTACATAGTATGTATAACATTGTCGAGTTTCAATAAAAAAGTGGCCACAATTTGGTACTAATTGGTTCAGTACCTACTACCTGTTCTGTAGACCCCATTAATTGTATTATAATATAACAAGGATGTCCCTCGAAGATTTACTATTGTGATATACTGATATCTCCTGAGATAACAAATACATCATAAATCTGCTAGACTCATAGAGACAAAGACTACATATAGTTTTTTTTTGGTAAAAAAGTTATTTACCCTCTCTCCGAGTAATTGGTGTATCCATACGGGACACCCTGTATAGATTAAATAACTCTGGCAACATTTTAAGAAGTAAGGCTCAAAGAATAGAGTATATTATTTTTTTAATTATACACTAAATGGCGGCAAAAAGAAAATATATTATATTATTGTATTATTATAATATTTATTGCTATAATTTATCATTTTTTTTCATTTTTTTTACCGACTTCAAACAATTTTACGATTCTTAACGTGACCCTTCAAACATATTAAATGGTGGCCTCTGGAATATATCAAAAACTTACATTTGGTGTGAGAATTCCAGCGATGTATGGAGTAGCCATTCCTGATAAACAACCAATACCGTTAACGAGTGCCATTATTGATGGAGCATAATTGGGTGATAAATCAAGTGTATTGACACGAATACTGGGATAACAAAATCCCATTAGTGCCATACCCAAAGTAAAACAAAAAGTTGCAATCATTTTGTCACATCCGACAAATGAAGCACACATTACACCAATACCAGGTCCGACATTTGCTGAAATTATGTACAATTATTTGTCGGTTTCCGGCAATTTAAGTCTAATGTCTTCATATCAACTATCAAACCTCACCTATGATAGCAAAACTTTTTCTAACTGCAGTGACACTCATTATTCGTTTGCTTATCAGCCAGTCAGCTAATATTCCAGCTAAGATCGACGTAACCCATTGGGCGATGTATGGAACTGACGACAATAAGCCATTCTATAGAGAGAAACGTTAAGCATAATATTACTACTTTGCACTTTTTTTACACTGTTAAATTTACCTAATAAGAAACTCAGATGTTCACCAGACTTACCTCACCAATGGAAAAATGTAAGACGTCATTCATATATTTTGGGAGATCGCTGATAATCGTAAACGCACCCCAGTCATGTCCAGCTTCAATAAGAATCAGTGCCCATATTGGCCACGACGTTAATATGGACTTCCATGGAGTGGAGGGCAAATCCTGTTATATCCAATTAATATATTAAATTGTGATATTTATGTCATGTCAGGCAGGAAAATATCGTTTTATCTCTGTGCGATATGACTATAGTGACATTTTACGTACCTTTTTCCTTTCAAGGCTTCCGATTGACTGTTTTAAGTATTCTCGCTCTATGTCTGATATGAACGGATGGGAGTTCGGATCATTGTAAACGAACATGCACCAGAGCAAAAACCAAATCAGCGAGGTTATACCGAAGAAGTAAAAGACATTAGGCCAACCACCAGGTATGTATTGTATGATGAAACCACTCAAGAAGTTTGAAAAAATGTTACCGATTTGAGCACCTGTTGAAATAATAATAATATTATCCTCAGTTTTTGTCAATACGTATATAATATAATTGGTTTGCTCTCACCGATCAACAAACACATTATTTATACCATAAGTATATGTTGTAGATTCAGATCAGAGCGAAGAATCAAGAATGTATTGATTTTACAATGATGTATTTTTTTTTTATGTTGATAAGTAGTTAAAATAATACTCAAATTTTTAATATCAGTGACTTGTTTCTTGTATTTTTTTTACAAATGTTTAATTGTTTACAAAATTGTTAAGCTTATTATTATATTGTAGACACTTAAATTGTCTTATGTAATTTTTTTACCAAAACTGAAATCAACTTACTATATTACTAATAGCTGGTGGTTAAATATATTAATTTTATAGCATGAAATATACTTAGTAGTATAGACTAACAGAACGTCATAGGTCAGTAATCGTATTCCGCATACAATGATTTTGTAATATATGTTCATAAGGTATAAACGTTACCTGCAAATACCACTGTGGAGAGTTTTCCCTTTTCTTCGGGTGGAGCCCACTGTGCCAGAAGTGTGCAGAGAGCTGGGAAGGTAGTTCCCTGCATATTAAAAAAATTAATTTAATTAAAATAATTGTATTAAAACCATATATAGTGGTAATCACGACCATTACCTCTCCGAGTCCTTCGACGAACCGCAGAATCGTCAGTGGTCTGGAGCCCATGTACGCTACATACGGAGTCATCAGAGTGAAGACTGCGGTGGACAGTATTCCTAAGCCCATGGTGTGCTTGCCACCAAATCTCTGGGATAAGACGCCGCCGGGTAAGTGGGTGAGTATGTAACCATAGTAGAACGACGACAGGATCTCACCCTGCGTCTTCTCATCCCAATCGAACCGGTTCTTGAACTCGTCCTCGGCTATCGCTGTCCGGTTGGACTTTGCGTGGCCATGTGACGACGACTGTGGCATCGGGCAGTAGTTGTGCTGAATGGATTTCACACCTCCGTCTACCACCACCACTGGCCTGACCATTTGAGTGAGAGTTATGCCTAAGCAGGCTCGCATCACGTACGCCATCGTGACACCTAACATCCCCATCCCGGCCATCACCCATCTTTGGGAGACGTGTCCTGCAGCAGAAAAATTATTTTATCCGTCAGTCGTGATACGACAGTCTCGATGTCAACATTGTTTTACAAACTTATCATTTAAACGTGATTTTCAAACGGAGTAATACATATGTGAATTGCTTGTATATCAAAAAATAGTTGATGCTTCATGCATTATAAGATGCCCTACAGAATAATAAACGGCATGGAATGGGGTAAAGGTATTTTATTATTATACATTGTGTGTTATAATAAATAATGTGGGACACAAATTAGTCGATGATGAAGTACAGTTATAATGTTCCAAAAAAAAATTTTTTTACTTTTTTTAATACATTTAAATGTATTTAATTGTCAGTGCACCAATTATAGATATTAAGTATTCTTACTTAGGTATCTGGATATTATATTTTATCTAAATTCTATATTATTATGTGTTAATTCTAAAACTATTCTATTATTATTAAAATAAAAAATCCACAAAGATGATTATTGTATATTGTTTTACTGTTGGTAAGTCAATAATTTTGAAAGAACACAATCTTTGAGGAGTTTCCACTTATGGAAAAGAAACAATCTAGGTGTTTATGTTTATGTAGGTACATCATTAGATTATGTACAGTATTGATGACATTACTGTAAATGCATTAATTGTTGTTTTGTCATGCGATAGAAAGCTAAATGTTTACTTACGTGAATTCAATTTCATAGTGGTAGTTAATTGATAGCCTCTTCAGTGTTTATATTTGATAAGTGAAAATTAATTACTTCAAACGTAGTTTCCTGAAAACCACTGAGAATATTACGGAATACGTTTACGAATCGGAAAACGTCCAATTCGTTTCTACCGAGTACTTATATGGTATTTCGTTTAGGTACATTATTCCACCTGAGTAATTTCAATAAATACATCCATATAAAAAAAATAATAAAAGTAATAAAATAATAATATTATACATATGATATATTAAATTATGTGTTCCCGTGGAATATTACGATTTACGAATCTGTCGGCTGGTGCACTTAGCGAACAAAATGTGACGTCTTCAAACGCAAAATTTTCCGTCTGAGCGCTGTTAACTTGTAGGATCAAGAAGCAACATGATAACATTATATTATTATATGATCCACACAGAGTGGGTTATTAAGACGTTCAATCCTTTTATTATGATCTGATTGACTTATCAGAATACCTATTTATCATTAGATTTATGTTTTGTGTCGAATGAGAGATCATGTTGTTGCTTGAGTATAAATACTTTGAGCACATAACGTTATAATGTGTATGATATTATTAATTATGTTGTTTATTGATTATTCGAACCGTGAAACGAAACGAACAACAAACATCCTGCAATCTTTAAACTACTATAATCTATATTTTTAATTATAATATAGTATTATGTGAACCATTTTAAGCTATTTAACTGCACGAAGTAATAACCAAGCACTTGATGACTAAAATAAAATAATAGCAATACGCAACCACGTTCATAATAAGGTGCATTGTAATTTGTATTACACGGACACGAGAGTTCAATGATTTGGATTCGAGCGTGTTTGTTTGTACTCTTTAAGTTCTATCATTAATCAACGGATAGGTAAGTATGTGCATTTACGGTGAGTTCAAGACAAGGTCTTGGATTTTCTATATCTTATCTCGAAGTCATTAACCCATTATTACAGTTGGTATACAGTTCGAAATGCAGGTACCATTTTTTTTTTCATAGGCATGAAGTGTTATCGTATGATATTAATAAATAATGAGGTATGGTCGAAACTTCGAAAGATTACAGCCGTCAGCCACAGATTGCGAATCCTTAATAACTTATTACTTTTATATCAAACAGATCAGCCGACATTCAAGACAAGCTTGAAAACAAAATGAGTTAGTCATGCTTGTAACCAAACAACAACGGCTCACCTTACAATATGTTTTATACTCTGCACAACTTAATGGCATTCAGCGGAAATTAGTTAGTTAAATCATATTTTGAATTGTACTTATTCAATAGTTTACCTTAACACCGTACACATGAGTTTCAAAAAAAAAATCGTGGAAAGTTCTATATAGACGATAGAAGAAGAACAATATCAGTTAAAAACTTGAATACCTAATATTAATATCAGTTAATTTTTTGATGAATTTCAGATTTTTTAATAAAAAGAACACTTTGGTTGAACTCAACGGATGAACTAGTGGAATGACAAACCTTTATAAAAAGAAAACGCTTGCGTTTAATATTGGTATTACCTTCGTTGTATACATTGAAAATGTACATTCAACACAGTTTATTTGTTTAGATTATCATTTATCATAGAAAATTAATCTATGACTATCAAGAAATATTATCTGTTATATTTTAAATTTAAGTTGATTTATAGATATGATACAGTACATAAAATATAATGTTGATGGAAATGTTATATAAAAATAATTATAGGCAAGTAGCCTAAAGTTGCAACTATGTTATAACTTGAAAGCAACATAAATCATAATCAAAACAATAAATCTGAATAATATGCAAAATTTAAATGTTGTCTATGTTTTTCCTTTTTATGCATAAGATAAAAATTTAAAAACCAGAATAATGGATTATAGCATTTTCATATATTATATTCTTAGAATGTGTAGGTACAATAGACACACTTAATTTGTTTCAGATTACCTACCAAAAAGTGAAATACGATTTCACATATTTTGGATTTACACTATTTAATTTCTACTAATTTAATTAGCATACCACCACGTAACACCACCATCGTCAGTAGGTAGGTACTCAAAGCGTCTAAAATAAATCAATTCTGAAATGATAACTTAACTGAAATTAACACATGATATATGCTATAAGTGTTCGTGGATGCTTTATGTAAACCATAGAAATAAGACTACACAAGCGTGTATTTCATTACTAGGATTAAAGTATGAATTTCATATGACACGTGTTTTTCTAATGCATAATAATATCTAAATAAACTTAGTGTAATCACCGTAATTTAAATTTTATAACAATAATAATTTCCTATTTTTATTTTAAAGTCAATTTTAGTAAGTAGCTTGCATTTTATTTTCAACATATTGCGTCTTTTTAGTCCAACTCCCTTTCCGACATATTGTTTAAAGTCTTAATTTGTTCAAAGTTGTTATAAGTTATAATTATCTTATAAAATTAAGAAAATTATTTTTATTTGAATCAACAATTGTATTTAAAATAATGAAATTTGTTCCATTCCTTCTAAAAAAACACATAATAGAAATGTAAGTATTGTAATAAATTTACTTAAATAGCTGCAGTTCCAATAAAAGTAAATTCATATTATCTAATATTAAAATATAGGTACAAATATAACCCTTTTTGTTTTTGTTATTGAATAATAGTGTATTGAACTGTAGCTTATCGCGTTGGTATAACATATAAAAATATATTTAGAAATTGGAAATTTAGCACGATTGGAGAGTTAAGTTTCCTAACTTGTTCATTTTCTCCCGATAATGTCAAAAAGTACTGAATATTTTTTAGATTTATTTTGGCAAACAAGTTTAATTACCAAATAGACTAAATTTTCTACTAGAAACCTCCCTCAAAGTCTAAGATCAGAGAATTATTTACCAGCAAAGTGTCTTNTTTTATATCAAACAGATCAGCCGACATTCAAGACAAGCTTGAAAACAAAATGAGTTAGTCATGCTTGTAACCAAACAACAACGGCTCACCTTACAATATGTTTTATACTCTGCACAACTTAATGGCATTCAGCGGAAATTAGTTAGTTAAATCATATTTTGAATTGTACTTATTCAATAGTTTACCTTAACACCGTACACATGAGTTTCAAAAAAAAAATCGTGGAAAGTTCTATATAGACGATAGAAGAAGAACAATATCAGTTAAAAACTTGAATACCTAATATTAATATCAGTTAATTTTTTGATGAATTTCAGATTTTTTAATAAAAAGAACACTTTGGTTGAACTCAACGGATGAACTAGTGGAATGACAAACCTTTATAAAAAGAAAACGCTTGCGTTTAATATTGGTATTACCTTCGTTGTATACATTGAAAATGTACATTCAACACAGTTTATTTGTTTAGATTATCATTTATCATAGAAAATTAATCTATGACTATCAAGAAATATTATCTGTTATATTTTAAATTTAAGTTGATTTATAGATATGATACAGTACATAAAATATAATGTTGATGGAAATGTTATATAAAAATAATTATAGGCAAGTAGCCTAAAGTTGCAACTATGTTATAACTTGAAAGCAACATAAATCATAATCAAAACAATAAATCTGAATAATATGCAAAATTTAAATGTTGTCTATGTTTTTCCTTTTTATGCATAAGATAAAAATTTAAAAACCAGAATAATGGATTATAGCATTTTCATATATTATATTCTTAGAATGTGTAGGTACAATAGACACACTTAATTTGTTTCAGATTACCTACCAAAAAGTGAAATACGATTTCACATATTTTGGATTTACACTATTTAATTTCTACTAATTTAATTAGCATACCACCACGTAACACCACCATCGTCAGTAGGTAGGTACTCAAAGCGTCTAAAATAAATCAATTCTGAAATGATAACTTAACTGAAATTAACACATGATATATGCTATAAGTGTTCGTGGATGCTTTATGTAAACCATAGAAATAAGACTACACAAGCGTGTATTTCATTACTAGGATTAAAGTATGAATTTCATATGACACGTGTTTTTCTAATGCATAATAATATCTAAATAAACTTAGTGTAATCACCGTAATTTAAATTTTATAACAATAATAATTTCCTATTTTTATTTTAAAGTCAATTTTAGTAAGTAGCTTGCATTTTATTTTCAACATATTGCGTCTTTTTAGTCCAACTCCCTTTCCGACATATTGTTTAAAGTCTTAATTTGTTCAAAGTTGTTATAAGTTATAATTATCTTATAAAATTAAGAAAATTATTTTTATTTGAATCAACAATTGTATTTAAAATAATGAAATTTGTTCCATTCCTTCTAAAAAAACACATAATAGAAATGTAAGTATTGTAATAAATTTACTTAAATAGCTGCAGTTCCAATAAAAGTAAATTCATATTATCTAATATTAAAATATAGGTACAAATATAACCCTTTTTGTTTTTGTTATTGAATAATAGTGTATTGAACTGTAGCTTATCGCGTTGGTATAACATATAAAAATATATTTAGAAATTGGAAATTTAGCACGATTGGAGAGTTAAGTTTCCTAACTTGTTCATTTTCTCCCGATAATGTCAAAAAGTACTGAATATTTTTTAGATTTATTTTGGCAAACAAGTTTAATTACCAAATAGACTAAATTTTCTACTAGAAACCTCCCTCAAAGTCTAAGATCAGAGAATTATTTACCAGCAAAGTGTCTTCAAACACTAAAATAAATTAATAAAAACACACGGTTATCATTGCATTGTGCATTTGTGCGTCGTCATCGGTGCTCTCAGAATCTAAGTCAATATTTCATTTTATTGAATGAAAAATTGTTTATGATGTACATGGCCGTACGTTTTAAAACAAGACTAAGGTTTTCAGCAACACTTGAAAAATGTATGGTTTTTTAAATTAATATCAGATGATTTTAATGTTGCAGCGTAGTAATTAAACAACAATACTATAATGAAATAATAAAATAATAAAATAACAAGAATATAGACTTGACGTATAAAATAAATCACTTTTGAACAACGGTTCTGTGCTGTGGCGCCTTAAGTTTTATCGATTGGGTAATAAATCTTGTAAAGACTCCTATATAAATCTAAAAACCATACTTTATGAAGAAGACTTCAATTCAGCAATACGATTTATTGTTTGCATAAGTTTTCATAAACTCATAAACAAAATCAAGAAAGCCGGTTTGTTATGTAGTCGGTTTAGACTTTTAGAGTGTATCTTATTATCATAACTGTATAAATGTATAATGGAAGTGGTTATTATAATATTATAATATTGTATATTGTATACAGTGATCGAAAGAGTGGAGGGGGGAGGGGGGATGAAAGCAATCCAATTTTTATAATTCATATTTTTCATCCCTTCACTTATTTTTTACGACTGTTTAAGTTAAATTATAATGAGAACTATATACATTATGAAAGCCATCCATCCACTTATTTTGAGCCACTTCGACCACTGATTGTTGAAAGTAACTTATCTCTGTATTTCATTACGAAAGTAATTTTTTACTGTGCCAATAACTCCACCTTCCATAAATAGTAAGGAAAAAATAGATGTATGTAAATAATATCACTTTGGAGTAGTGTTTCGCAAAGAAATGTATACACAATACACATAATATGTTGCAGTTGAGTCGGGTAAATACGAAAATAGATATACAGCCTCCAGTGGCTCTATCTATCGAGTTAAATATAATTACAATTCTTAAAAACATTAACCGTTTGAAGTCAGGCAGGTAGTAATAGTATAAAATATAAAAATCAGCAACCTTACCAAATTGTGTAAAAAAAGAAAATAATAGTTAATTTTTGTTTGTTATTCAAACGAATATAAAAAGGCTAAGCATTATTCGTATGTTTGTACTTTATTGACTAACAAAACTGAACTACGAAAAACATACCTGGCTACCTATTATCGAGTTTTTACAACAAAGTTCATACAAATTAAAGGAGATGAAGCATAGATGCCGACACCAATTATAGGTATGGGTGAGACTATGAATGCAATATTTTAGAGGTTGTTTACTATTAATTATTATCAATTAAATCTGTCTTTGTGGTCGGCGCTTTTGACCAGTGGACGTTAATAGCTTATATTACTACCTAGGTAGTAGGTAATTATTAGGTGGTAGTATGTATACGGTATTTTAAAAAAATTTCGGCAAAAATATCGAATATAAAATAATAGATAATATCATTAATATTATTAATCTATTGACTTAACCAATTTAACATAAAGCCAAAATATATGTATTAGCCAAAAATATGCAACTTCGTTGAAATCAGAACTTTAAATGTCTTTAAAAAAATCATGCTTAGGTAATTTTGATATTAGTAATTTGTTAAGATTCAAAGGCATGCGCAGAACTTAATATTATATATTGCTATTTTTAGGTTTTTAGCATTGGAAAAAGTCGTAATTTCAATGCAGACAATTATAATTATATATTGCACAACCATGATTATTATTATTTAGTTAGTTTTTTGTATTTAGTATTTAGTACTTTTATTTTCCAACTATTTCAAAAAACATTGAATTTTTCCGACCCCCCAAATACCAATTAAATTGACTTTATCTGAACTTAAAAACTAGTAAGGTAAGTATATTGTATGTGTGTAGGCTAATGAGATGACATTATAAATATATTTTGGAATAATAATATTGGTATCAAAAAAAAAAATATATTTATAAATATTTTACCTATTTTTGCTGATCAATAAATAAATAGATTTTAGAAAAACAATTTCATTTGATAGCTTAAACATTTTTAATGGTGCATATGAATTTAATTTAAATATGTGTTTTTAGAAATGTCAATATTAAATACTAATTAATACTTCAAAATATTATAACGTTCTTGAATAAAGCAACACAATGGTATAAAAACCGCACGAAAGATATAATATACTATGGCTTTACAATGTCCAATTACTTCGGTACAATACAATAATTATTTTAATAATAATTCGATTGAGTTTCAGTTGTTTTAATGTGTTATTGTTATATTGTTATTAATTTCGGAAAATCAATGATGTAGGAATCAATTTACAATTATTGTTAATAATTATAAAAATATTAAATTGTTGTAATTTTCACAAAATCGATGTGAAATATGTACCTATTTTTTAATACATTAAAATATTTTAACAACATTTGGTAAGAAAAAACTATTATGACATTTATATTTTTAAGTAGTTTCAAAACAACAAATAACTACAATTACAAATTTACACAGATTCAGTGAGAAAAATGTGTTATAAATTAAAATTGAGTACTAGAACAATGTTAACATGTTACCTATTATAGAAATAAATATATTAAAATGCTTTAAACGTTAATAACAATTTTTTATAACATAAACAATGCAAAAAAGTTATAATTATTGATTTATCAACTTTTTTTCCATATTTGTATGCGATAATGCTCATAATGCGGAGTGTCCCTTGCAGGGGTATTTTGAAGCTTAGAAGGACAGCTAGTATTACATAAACTTAAAATGTTAGAAAAAAAATAACATTAACTTATTATTATTGTGATTCTTCTTAGATTATATTACAATGAGGAAGGCGTGCATGAGGACATTTTTGTGATTTCGCATAATTTTAAAGGCCACAGAATCTTGAGTTATTATTATAAACTAGAAAAATATGACAAATTTAGTTTTTATTTAGTTAAAAATAAATATACAAATTTTAATATACAAATAAAATGTTTCTTCCTATTATTTTTTTTACATAATATTATTGAATCGTTAAACTGGTTCTAAATATAACAAGTATTTACAAACTAAATAAATATTCACATTATATAATTACTATACATTAATAGTGTACATTAATACATTTATTAACAATATTATTTACAGAGTAGGATAGTTTAGTTAGTCCAATAAGTCAAAATTCTAATTATTTGACGATTTTCCATCTTCTATGGATTTTGAATGAATTATACTTAATCGTTCATCCATAGGTAACCCCCTCTTTGCCTTCTCCTTTTCTTTTAGATAATGCTGTTCCAAGTCATCCCATGGCTGCAACTCACCGGAACCAAATAGCCCGTACACCACAGACGATGCTGTCATTACTATCATCATAATCCAAAATACAAGACGCCACTCTAACACAGTTCTCTGAAAAAATAAAAATGTAATACATTATTAGGCACTTATTTGTATGAAGTATTTAGATGAAATACTAAAAGGTGATTTATAGATCAATACTATTAACCCTTTGTAAGACATACGATATCTTGGAAAATCAGTCTTAACGCTGATTATATCCTAATACTATTTAGTTTAATTAACCATTAAATACATTTATAATTCATTATAATTATAGTAACGTATGGCATAACACACCATACTAAATTTATTTGATGTGTACTAAAAAAAAAATGTATTTTCATGAAGTATAATAATATATATTACTTTATCAGATGTAAAATAAATTAACATTAAAGAAAAACTGAAAAAATTAGTTTTTAAAAACCATATTATATCAATAATCCACAGATTAAAAATGTTTAAAATAATTTAAAATATTTTTTTTTTTTTTGTAATTGATATGTTAGATTGACGTAAATTTATATATATTCATATTACATAAATTCTCCATAAACACCATGTTTATAAAAATAATGACCTTATAGTAATAACCATATTCAAAAGTCACCCATTCTTAACATACATTCATTTTTAGACATAAATACAGATATATCGATCAAATGAAACAATTATACTTAGGGAAATTTGAAATAGAAAACCTCATAGAATATACTATAAACTTACGTTCGGTGTGAGAATTCCGGCGACGTATGGAGTGGCCATTCCTGATAGACAACCAATACCGTTGACCAATGCCATTATGGTAGGAGCATAATTGGGCGACAAGTCGAGTGAATTAATACGGATGCTGGGATAACAGAATCCCATTAGGGCCATACCCAAAGTAAAACATAAAGTGGCGATCATTTTATCACATCCGACGAATGAAGCACACATCACACCCATACCCGGCCCAACGGTTCCTGAAATCATGTCATTATTTGTCAGTTACCGGCATTCCGAACAGTTATGTTTTAACATTGAATCTCACCAATAATAGCATAACTTTTTCTGACTGCAGTTACACTCATTATTCGTTTGCTTATTAGTCGGTCGGCCAATATACTAGCTAAGATCGACGTAACCCATTGGGCGATGTATGGAATGGACGACAATAAACCGTTCTGTATAAGGGAACGTTTAAAATTATTTAATTGAAATAAAAATTTTTAGATGTTGATCAGACTTACCTCAGTAATAGAAAAGTGTAAGACGTCACTCATATATTTTGGAAGATCGCTGATAATCGTGAAACCACCCCAGTCATGTCCTGCTTCAACAATAATCAGTGCCCATACTGGCCACGACGTTAATATTGATTTCCATGGTGTTGGCGCCAAGTCCTGTTACAATATATTCAAATATTAAATTATGATATTTTCGTCACCACTGGCCAGAGAATATCGTTTTGTCACAATGACTCATGATCATTATGATGTCTCAAGTACCTTTTTCCTTTCTAGGCTTCCGATCGACTGTTTTAAGTAGTCGCGCTCCATATCTGATATGAACGGATGGGAGTTCGGGTCATTGTAAACGAACATGCACCAGAGCACAAACCAAATCAACGAGGTTATGCCGAAGAAGTAAAAGACATTCGGCCAACCACCAGGTATGTATTGTATGATGAAACCGCTCAAGAAGTTTGAAAAAATGTTACCGATTTGGACACCTGTTGGATACATAACATTATTGTTATCTTCATGAGTTGTTAATATGTGTTTTTCATAAATGATTGGCTCGTTCACGCCATATGACGAACACATTATGTATATAATAGGTATAGGTGTATGTTTTATTTATTTATAAGTTACCTGCAAATACCAATGTGGAGAGTTTTCCCTTTTCTTCGGGTGGAGCCCACTGTGCCAGAAGTGTGCAGAGAGCTGGGAAGGTAGTTCCCTGCATATTAAAAAAATTAATTTAATTACAATAATTGTATTAAAACCATATATAGTGGTAATCACGATCATTACCTCTCCGAGTCCTTCGACGAACCGCAGAATCGTCAGTGGTCTGGAGCCCATGTACGCTACATACGGAGTCATCAGAGTGAAGACTGCGGTGGACAGTATTCCTAAGCCCATGGTGTGCTTGCCACCAAACCTCTGGGATAAGACGCCGCCGGGTAAGTGGGTGAGTATGTAACCATAGTAGAACGACGACAGGATCTCACCCTGCGTCTTCTCATCCCAATCGAACCGGTTCTTGAACTCGTCCTCGGCTATCACTGTCCGGTTGGACTTAGGGTGGCCATGTGATGACGACTGTGGCATCGGGCAGTAGTCATGACGAACGGACCTTTCGCCTCCGTCTACAACCACCACAGGCCTTACCATTTGAGTGAGGGTTATGCCCAAGCAGGCTCGCATCACGTACGCCATCGTGACACCCAACATCCCCATCACGGCCATCACCCATCTTTGAGATATGTGTCCTGCATCAAAAAAATGATTTTATCGGTCAGTCATGGTTGTGAAATCACGATATTAAAAGTATTTTTTAAACATCTTATTTGTCACTATGAAACCGAGAAATACAAAGTTATACATATATTGTTAGTTAGTTTAGGACTCATACTATGATTTTTCCTGTTGTATTTTGAATATTGAATGGAAGGTGCTTTTATTAATATTGACGTAGGTTTAACATAAACCATAATTTATAATATTGTAGAACTACAGAACATCAGAATACTAGTATGGACTTAAGTACAATATTCTATGATACATTCAATAAATTGTAAATTTCATTAGTTAATTGATTTTACGTTTTATTTTAAACTAGATAAAATAATTACGTTGAAACCAATCAAAATATTAATAAATGTGTATAACAACTCAAATATTATATCAACTGGATAAACAGTTTTTAAAATATAAATTATTTTATGAAGTGGTAATTAATTATAGTGGGCACATAGTAAATGTGAGAATGAAGTAACGATTTTTGGTTTCTAATAGGTACATAAATTCACAACTATTATTTTATACAGGTACTATGTAGTACATATGGCTACATTAATTTTGTAATGAGATCAAAAGCAATTAAAGCAAAATCATTTTAATCAAATACATTCAATGTTAAGTATTATAATTAATAAATATCTATTATATTTTATGATCATTAGGTATACAAACATATAGATTAATTTTTTCGGTGTTGACGATTTATGAATCATCGTGTACCTACCACCACATTAAAAGCTAATAATTATAACTTTTATTTTTATAGATTAGAATATTGATTAATCAATGATGTAAAATGCTATCATAAGCAGGTTTTTTTTTTATTTCTTGAATCGTACATTTTTCATTCATTATTGAAACCATTGTTGAAATGTGTAGGTAAATCTTTTTTCTCTTATTTCTTATTTCTATGATTTGCAAATTTAACCTTCAGTTTTCCTCCTTCTATTTTAATTTGCTTAATTTTCTTGAGTATACAATAAAATACAGTTCCGATGTTCAAAAATAGATTTTTGATACCTATATAATAATCTAGGTTTTACTATTTTAATTTTATATTTTTTTTAATAAATTTAAAACATATCTAAGCTTTGGTGTAAAAATAAAAGATAACAGGAGTTCAATCTTACATAGTATCAAAATATTATATTTTTTAAAAATAATATGTGTTAATTTATATAATTTAATTATCGCAATTAAATTTGATCAAATAAATCTTAGAGAAAAGTTGTTCGAGTCTATTTATTACCGATTAGTAAGTCATATTTTAAAATTTACCCTATTTTCAAACAGTTTAGACGAGAGAAAAAAAACAATCAAGGTGATTATAACGTGCATCATTACATTTTGTACAGTATTGATAACATAATTGTAAATACATTAATTTATATTTTTCTATGTTATAATATAAAACACAACATTTTATCATAAGATAGAAGACTAAACGTTTACTTACTTGAATTCAATTTCATAGTGGTGGATGAATAATAGTCACCTCAGTATTTATTTACACGCGAGAATTAATTGTTTAGAACGGAATTTTCTGAAAATCGTCGCCGAGAATAGTAGGGAAAACGTCCACGCGGGTTCTACCGAGTACTATTTATTTTCGTGTAGGTACGTATAATACCATCTGAGTAAATACAACACGTTTATAACATTTAAAAAAAAAAAAAAAAAACAACGATAAATATACGTATTACTTATTAAATAATTTAATATTATTATGTTCCCGCGGAATATTAATAACCCGTCGACTGATACGGCTGGTGGACAGAACGCGACGTCTTCAAACGCAAACTTCCGTCTGAACACTGTTAACTCGTCAGATCGAGACACAACATGATAACATGATATTATTATTATGTGATGCCCGCCGAGTGAGTGGGCGATTAAGACGTTCGCTCCTTTTATTGTATTCCGATCGCCTTATCTGAATATATTTTATCATTGGATTTGTGTTTGTGTCGAATGGGAGCACATGTTCTTGTTTGTGTACCTATATATATATAATATTAATGTGTACGGCAGGTATTATATTAATTATTATGTGCACCGATTGTTTGAACTGTTGTACGACACGAAACAAATATAACGGTGATATACGGCATGCAACGTCGAACTACAATAATTATATTATATTATTAATTAATAAATAATAATAAATGGATAATATTATGTGCGAACCCGTTTTAGGCGATATTCAACTCCGCGGAGTAGTTACCAAGCACTGACGAACAAAGTTCAGTAGCAACAAAAAACTACGTTTATATCCAAGGGGTTCAATGATTGCGGCTCACATGTGTTTGTGTGTGTGCCCGTCAAGTTGTGACATTAATCGATGGATAGGCAAGTATGTACATCTATTGTGATTGCGATGACAGATATGAATATTACGACTTTTGAATTTTTCTCAAGGTCTTCGATTATCATTTATCGCCAAGTCGTTGGCCCAAGACTACGGTTAATGGTGTTATACAATTCGAAATGCGCGTACCATTATTTATAGGTAGGTCGTGTTATCATTTACTGGCAGATTTGCTAGGCACGATCGAAATATTACAGACACTGATTGCAAATCATTAATTACTCACTTTAGTATGAAAAATAACACTACGGATTGCGTGTGAACTCGTCGATAAGTTGTACCTGTTTAGTGAGAGAGAGAGAGAGAGAACGCGTAACCGTTGATTTTAGTTGCCTTCGTCGGATACATTTCAAACATACAGTTGATAACATTTTGTTTTGTATAGATTATCATGGAAATTTGACCTATTACAATCAAAATACATTATCTATTACATTTTAAATTGTAACGTTTATGTATGAGACAATATACAAAATATTTAATTGATGCAAATGTTATCTTAAAATAATAATAGGAACCTACCTCACTTTGCAATAAAAATTTCAAATAGCAAACTACATAATATAATAATTTTATTAGCAATAACAATAAATCTGTATATTTTGATATGTAAAATGTAAGGACTTCTAAAAAAATCGAAGATCATGACTTGTAACATTTGAATATGTGTACCGGGTTTGTGTACAATAGACTCGAATTAAACGAGTAATACATTTGTTTCCAATTACCAAAAAGGAAAATACGGTTCGACGTATTTCAGAGCTATAGTGCTATTGATTTTTGATACTTTTATGCTTTTAGTGTACTTTTTATTGTCATTCCGGAGAAAACATATTACAACGTCTAGACATTTTATTATATATATATTAGTACTATTGTATGTATTCGGTGGATGGAAATATCATTGATGTTCATTGAATTGATGTAAAAATAGGAACTCTATTAATTTGCATTCACGAAGCTTTTTTTCATACCTGGAGAAATATAATTCAGAAAATGTGTTTCTCTGAGCACAACGGAACTTCACCATCGTCCGTAGATAGGTAGGTACTCGATGCGTTTAAAAGGAGTCATTTCTGAAATGTTAACTCAACGGTAATTATCGACAGCTTTGTGCTATAGTTATAAGTGTTCGTGGTTGCTTAATGTAAGTCATTTAAATAATACTACACAAGCGTGTATTTCGTTACTAGGATTAACGTAGAAGTAGTATAAAACACGTGTTTTTTAAATGCATTATATTATCTAAAGAAACATAATATAACCACCGTAAGTTCATTTTCATAACAATCAGTTCCTATTTTTATTTTATTCGTCAACATCAGTTAAAAAATTGCATTATACAGTCAAGATACTTCTTAACTAATTAATCTATCCCCACCCCCCTTAAAAAAAAAAAACAAACATAATATTTTATAAAACCATAATATAACTAGAAATCATATTGTTTAATTATAGAACAACCAAATGAATTTTTCACTGGTATATACCTCAAGGTATATTCACTATTGAATGTCTAAACGATACAATGATTAAAATTTCTAAGAACTATTAATGGTAAGTACATAATACCTAATTATTGTTTATTATGACATTATTTATAATTGAAATGTACATACTTTTATTTAAGCAGAGGTGCATCGTAAATTCCATAGTCTATTTTAATAGTGATACTATTATACAAAAAAGTCACAAAAAGTTATAATTATTTTAAATTTAATCAAAGACCAATCATAAATAATGATTTTGATGGTCAATAATAAAGGCTAAAATAATTTTTGTATTTTGTTTACTCTTTCCAAAAACAACATTATATAAATGTAAATATTGGAATTTATTTTTTTATTTATATATATTTTACCTGGAGTTCATTCACTCCAATAGGTATGTACTCAATTATTCTATTTAATGTTCAACAATAGTAATTAAAGTAGCCAAGTGAGTAGTGATTTATTGCAAGGATATTAGTAAGTTGTACATTTAATTGTATTAATAACAACAATGTATAACTATTAAAATTGTATATTAGTGTAACAGATATTATTTTAGCATAATATTATACTTACTGTAGTCCCTTAACTTTGAAATTTATTTGTACATATTATAATCAAGTTGTACCTGAGAAAAAAAATCATTGCGTGCCTGTTGTAAATTATTTTTTATTTGTTGGATTATTGAAGAAAATTATAAGGAATGAAAAATAATATCCGTTTAAAACATAATTTCCATACAATTAACGAAACGGTATGAAATTACACAATACACCATTATAATATAATATTACATAATTTATTAGAGTATGTCTGAAAGAATATATTCTTAAAACCTAAGTAATTAAACTAAAAAAAGGCTTCATGTAGAAAACCTACTCTGTTGTTCTAGAGATGTCGAGTACAGCTCGTCATGAAATAGGTTTCCTACCGCAGTAATTTATGTGTTAAATTTTAATACAATAATAATGATTATGAATCATTTTATACGCGGACAATTTTTGGAGAAGATGGTCCAATTTTTCGGTAACTCTGGTTGGTACTTATAAGGTACTGAGTTCAATTTTAACTTACCGACAAGACCAACTAAATTTAACTATTCACCAGAAATCTGTTTCAAAGTTTTCAATCAAAGGACTTTTTAATTTTTTATACAAGAAAAGTGTCTTCAATCACTAAAATAAAATAAAATTAGAAACATATTATCATAATATCATTGTAAGATCAACAAATTCTTTGCGCTGCTCAGAATCTACAAGTCATAATTTCACTATCTACGATGATCATTTTGTTTTTGTCTTGAATGCCCACACGTTTTAAGATAAAACCAAAGTTAATACTTAGTATAGGAGAATTAGACCATTTCATAATAATTAAACAATTTATTCAAGAATAAAATAATAATATAAATAGACTAGTTCAAAATGAATCACTTTTGGACAACGGTTCTACGTTGTGGCATCTAATGTTTAACCAAATGATGATAAATCTTAAAAAAATCCTACACATTTCAAAAGCTATCAAGAATGCTTCAAATTAGATATTGTTTATATAATTTTTAAAAAAAACTTATGAATTCGGGTTTGAATATCTGTTATTGAATATATTATTATAATAATGGATGTGCTAAATTTGAATTCAATGAAGAAAAATACTACACACGAACAACTTTTAGAACAAAGATAGTCTAAAATACTGTTAATGTATATTTTTATATACATTATATTTTATATTTATATTCATATTAGTGATAAAGTATTTTAAACAATTTTGTCCAAAAATATCACATTTAGTATGTTACATTTAAACAGTATATATTAAAGTAATATTATTTTAGCTATTATTCAGTCAGTTCTACACTACTACTAACCGACTATCATGAAATAGTGTGATTGGGTTCATGGTATAAATATTTAGCTTAAAATTGAATATATTGTGTATAGAAAATAATTATATATACCTACATAAAAGAAAAAAGTACCTACGACTGCTAATTTTTGAACCTTAACAAAAAAACTATTATTGTTAATTGAATACTTATTGTTTTGTTAAAATATTCAATTTTGTCAAAATTAGGAGTTCAAATGTAATTTTACTGCTCCGAAAGGCGATAGCAGACACAAAAAAAAATTACATCTTTGTAAAACCTATATACATTCTTCGATATGCTCAGAATCACCAAAAGTTATAAAATAATAAATTACTGTAACCGACCTTACTTAAGTAAAAGTGTATATAATTATGCTAATTAGTCACGACTAATTGTTAAAAAATTGTTAAACAACTTGTTAGAGTATTTCTGAATAATAATATTAATATTAAAAAAAAAATTTTAAACCAATCTTATACAGTTGTGAATATTATCCATGAGTAGCAATGACCTCATCAGCCAATGTTTTTCTGGAAAAAAAAATGTAATGATAAATAGTTGACAAAAGAAATTTAAGTAAATTATGTTCGTAGAAATGCCAACACTAATTAATGTTTAAAAATAATAGCGTACTTGATTAAAGCAACTCAATGGTACAAAAAAAAAAAATGTACAAAAGACTTTCCCATGGCTTTACAATTTTCAATTACTTTATTATTGGAATAAAATTATTTTAATAATAATCAGATTGAATTTTAATTTGTTTGGTATTTATTGCTATTAATTTTGGAAAACCAATAAAGGTCGGATACGATTTTTTTGTTTGGTTTTAGTTAATAATTAAAAATATTTTAGATAAATTGTTTTCACTTGCATAAAGTCTATGGTTAATCTGTATCCAATTTTCCATAGTTACATTGCAATTGTAAAATGCACATTCCATTTAGAACACTATTTTAACATTGTTCTTTTCTATACACTTCTAGGTATAAATTAAATTAAGTACCTAATATATATATATACACACTTACGAAGACACGTGGCTGCAAGGCCAAAACCGAGTTTTAAATTAAAATTAAGTAAAAACATAAGGTTAACTAACCTATTTATAGAACTTATATGTTAAATGGTTTTAAACTTTACTTAACTTAATTTTTTCAATAGGTATTATAATATAAACTAAACGAATTAGAAAAAAAAAAGATAATTAGCGTAGTAAACTAGGTCTCGACATACACACATTATACACATTACACATTCATACAACTTTTAAACATTTAAATCAGACGAATGTTCACTCCGTTAATATTTTGGCTTCAAGCTTTATAATATATATTAATAAATCTATACAAATAACAATACAAATAAAATGAAACGATACTATTCTTATAATCTAGAATTGCTCAATTATTGACATACATTTAAGGAACACGTATTCTTATGTTCTCATAAGTAGTTCTCAATAATATCAACTTGCACTCTTAAAACCTGGCAGACTACAAAACGTGATATTGTCATGTCAAGCGTGTGAAATACTGAAATACAAGCATCTAATATTTATAGCAAACATTGGCGTCTATCAATAATCAATATTAACATTGTCAATCGATTATCTATTAAACTAAATATGTACGAGTATTAAACACGGTGATGGGTACTAAAAATTATTAACTATTGTCTGTTGAATAAATTTTATAAATAATAAAAATCTAATTTCAAAAAAAAATTTTTTTTATGTGTAAATATTGTTTACCGATTGTTATGGGGTGTATAATTACATAACTATATAGCCCTACAAACAATGTATTATACTCAGGCACAAATCAGTGATTAGATAATTTTTAATTATTTTAAAAGATGCCATAAATCAATTTAAATTATAATCAGATTCCATTGCATACAATAAACATAGTAGTATATTATATTATTGTACCAGTTATTCAGTTATAATATTGTTCTTGTGTCCACAACATTTTCTGGGTAAATGAGTTAGTTGATTAGTGTTATATAGATACTTTAAAACGTACATCTAATATGATGAATTATTTACTTTAATAGGGTTTGTGTTTTGCTGATAATGATCGTTTTATTTATTATTGACTTTGCTACGAAAATAATTTAAACTATATTGAAATAATTTAGTGAATTTACGTAGGTAAACCCACTGTTACTTTATAATCATGTAATAATTATTCGAAATGTATAAAATAATATATTGAGTTATAACATGTGGTAATTAACTCAAATTAATAATATATTTTACTTAAAATATATTATTCCTCTTCAGTATATTATATTGCATTAAAAGGACGTCGTACCCGCAGTGTTGTCTAAGTCATACAAACAAACAACTTTGCAAAAACTGTTTGAGCGGCACAAATTACACAACGCATAGAGGAGAATTTTTACTGAGCCGCAGTCTTTTCATTATTTGGATAACAAAAATATAATTGAAGTTATCAGTTTGAGAAGGTTGGGTTTTTCCAGTTTTTCCAATTTTTTTTTATATTTGATTATTAAAAATTATCAGTTAATGCTATCACAAAAATTTAAACTCTTCATCACAGATAATGTTCTCTCCTATGCGTTGTGGAATTTTGGTAATTCCAATATAAATACTGAGGGAGTAAAGTTGTCCCGCGCAAAACAGCTTTTTCTATGTTCTACATTTGTGAGACGAAGACCGGTCCTCTAAAAAGTTATAATAATGATTGACATTCCCTTAATATTTAGTATCATAAGATTATTTTCTTTGAAAAATGAAACACTCAAGTGTAATTTGTTCCAGCTTCATGCGTTCTTCGAGTGATCTTACCTTTGTTTAAATGTACACAACAACTCACCACTATCTCTTAGAATTTTTAGTAAAATGTTCAAAATTGGGGTCAATACATTTTTTTTAAATGAATATTCTATATCTCATGTTTGAATACAATATCGTCAGTATGCCTTTAACAAAAAAAAAGTTTACCGAAAACTCTTATTAATTTTATATGAGTGTTTGAACACTAAAATTCTTTTTTTTACCATGGATATACACCAATTACACGTATATCAAATTCAAATTCTCATCAAAGTGTTATTGTAATTCAAACACAAATAACTCTAAATGCTCAAAATGTTCAGAAAATGTTGATTTTATAATTTTCTATATATGATGCAATTTTATAAATTTTCTTTCTATAAATATTTCGCTCAAAACCTCAAAAATCTTGAACTTTTAATACAAGGTTCATCAAATGTTATTCAAATAGCAGTTGAAAAATATTAAGGATACATCAGCATGTTCTTATTATAAGCATTTTAAGCTGAAATTTTAACAAAATTATTTTGTAGTTAAAATGTATAAAATGTTCTATTTTTATAGTCAAGTAATACGGATTGAATTTTTAAAATGATGTTTCCGACAAATAGTAACGAAAAAATGTAAAAAATATTTCACAGTTTTTTGATGAATATTTTAAATTCAAATTTGGTCAAAATGAGATATTTAAACAAAAAATAACGATTTAAGTCATTAAAAAATATGTATTATTATAATATAGGGTGGACAGATCATCTTCGCTCAAAATCATTTTTCGTATGCAATGATTTTATACCATAGAATTAAAATTTAACACATCCATACAGTAACCCTCACAACACTTACTGTACATCAGAGTAGTACTCACTTGCCCACCATTTTTACTCTAGAGTTATTGACATTTTAATGTTCACATTATCTCACTTCATATGAATTTGTCGTTTGTTGTTTTCAACATAAACACGATAGCTCCCTTCTGACTAGGAAGTCTATACTCTATTTCCGCCCAATGGTACAGGAATTGTAATTATTAGCTATCAAGATAAAATATGTGCCAGCTAGCGAGTACTTAATACAATACACACGTGATTATTACAATAAAATGGCCTTGTAGTAATATTATTAGATACCTTTAAATATGTTTTCTTCGAAATATTTGTAAAGTTAAAGTACGTGTGTACTGATGACTTTTGTTATTAAAACGTTATCGAATAAATGCGTCAATACCATCATTGGTCATAAATAATCACTTGTACTTTAATATTTGAAAACAATCACATTAATACATTTGCATTTTTTTTTTTTATCCTATATCCATAACTATACGTCACAGGTGTGACACGTACAAGTCCTCAATTTACACGCAAAACACACTTCAACGAATTACGTTTTTGATTAATTAGATTAATTTCGCACCTATAGACGTACGATATAGACAAAATGTTGTGTTTATTTTGTTGTTGTCCGTCTTTAAAAGTACCTACAGTCTATAACGATACAACGTTTTCGATGAGTATAATAGTACTTACATAGTATTACAAATTACACGAGTGCTTGACGTCTAAAATAATATCATGTACTATACATATAATAAGTACGTAGGTATTGTGTAGGTATTATTCTTAAGAAAAACACAAGATAATGAACAAATAAATATAATAAACTTACCTATTACATAATTATTACGTAACATAGTAAATAATAAGTCCCAGAAAAATGACTAAGGAAAATAGAACTACTCGGGAAAAATGTTGAGAGGAAAAAATAAAAGATACTTATATTGCTCAACTACTGATTAGTTGGCCGTTAGTAGTTTGACTAGTGATGAGTGATGACTAAATATATATAATAATATAATATCTTAGAATCTCTATTTACGGATTTATAATATCCATATTTTATTATATTTATTATATACGATTATTTAACTGAGAAACACTAACTCCATTCGTTTCTATCGGAATGAATTGATGGCCGTTGAACAACTACTGTAGGTATAAGTATTTAAATCTGGCCTGATCTATCATGGTTCATGAATGAATATTTTATACTATTAATCATAGACGTTGGTTTTCAATAATTTAGTAAATCACAATAGATGTAAAATCATCTTGAAAATATATTTTATTTTTCACTTTTAAGCTTTTTTAGTCTAGAGTCTTAAATGCATGTATTTGTTATATTAAAATAATTAATTTAAAGTGTAACAAAAAAAAAGTATAATCAATAGACATTTTTATTATAAACAATACAGGAGTGTTTGGTAAACAAAATTTAAAAAAAAAATTACAGTGCGAAATATAAAAGTAGTAACTTAATCAATTTATATAATGCAATAAAAACAAATAATAGTTAATAAATATTGTTTATTATCAAATGCTCATCAAAAGGCAGTGTCTGCAGTGGCCCAACTAAACCTCTAAAACGCGGGGTGCTAAATCTGTGAATGCATCACTGAGTTGTGGGGGACGAAAATCATAAAAGTTAGATATAAAAAACAAGGGTTGCTAAATTTTGCAAAAAAAAGAAGAAGAAACATAAACATCAATAGGTACGACAGAGATACAATATTTTAGAGCATGTTGATATTTCTATTAAAACGGTAATGAGAGTAAAAAAAGTAGGTAATGACATAAATTTGCCATCACTATAAACAACTGTTGTAACTGTATCGGTACTGTATACTTTTTCCAAACTTTGGTTTAGTAATCAATATTTATATTGAATAAGTTGTATTCAATTAAAAGTATGTGCCAAATTGATAACTTTCTCAACATTCACTTTAATTAGGTATCTTCAAGTTCTTTATGGATTTATTGGCCTACATTCTATACTTGTTCAGTGGCCTACCTCTCCCGACTTCCTACAAAGGGACATAATATGATTTACATATTAAATTCTAACTATTTCATTATTCTTTCTTCATTGATACGCCCAAGGCACCATTTCTTTAGTACTGTAGTAAATGTAAATCCTTACCTAGTAGCAGTTAAGTACAATACTTTTAAGACATTTATTTGCATTTACAATACTATTACGTTTGATAATAACAAAACTGTTAAGGATAATAATATGATTCACGGTCATATAAATTTGTTAATTCGTTATTTTTCCATATTATAATATGTAGAACATACATGCATATGTTGTTATTGTAAGCACAAATATCAAACACTACAATACTATCTTAAGTCGCCAACTTAATAGTTTATTATTGCCTTTATTTATGCAATAAAAAACCTAAAGTAACTAAAGAACAATATAAATTTTTTTAGAGTAACTCTTGATGGACATAAGTTATGCCATATGGTCAAGTATAAGTATGTGAAGAACCTAAGTGTCTAATTTATTCAGTGATAAGATTAAGTCAGCAAACATTGTTTTTTTGTTGTTATTTAGCGTTATCTGATAATATTACTAGACAAGTCTAGTTTACCGTAGATTAGAATATTACTGAATTGTCCTAATTGAACAATATTCACAGTATAATGATTCAATTATACAACTCGAAATTGAATACTGATAAGTCCATAAATGATGTGTATACAATTGATATGTACGCGTATATTGTTCAACACTTATCTTAAGTTTATGCATAACATTTTAGTAAAAAATGATTTGTAAAAAGGCGGGCAAGTGGATACCGCTGTATAATAAGTGTCTAGTGGATCACTACAGTCTGTGATGAATTATATTTGGTAAAGCATTGCATACAAAAAACAATTCTGAGCAATAGCGATCTGTCAGTTTACATAACAAAATATAGTTTCTGTTCATATGTTTTTTTTTGCCATATTCAGTATAGTAGGTTGAATTAATTGTTGCAGAATACATTATATGAAAATGTCATTGTATGTATAAAGTATAACAATATACTGAAAGTTTCAAGTGCACACTAATAGTATTTTTAAATTACTACAAAATAAATAATATTGTTATTCGTGGATTAAAATAAGTACCTAATCTTGTCGTTAATAAAGATGTAAGAACTGTTTTTATAAATTACTAGTTGTCCCACCCGGCGTTGCCCGGGTAAAAGTCACCTCAGGTGAAAACCGAGATTTTTTTACATTATACTAACAATAACTGACCCGGCAAACGTAATACTAAATAATTTGCTTACATTTTGAACAGGAATTAGCCTGTATATTAAGATGGTGATTAAAAAATTATATACAATTTTGTGAAAATTCGATTAGTTATTAGTTTTTTTTTACCAGCAACTAATGTACACCATTGATGATAAATAACAATAATTGGTACTCAGATAAAATCTTTTTTTGCTAAACTAAATGATTTTAATAATTGTTTATTATTCCACGTCGATACCGACCTGCCTAGAAGCATCTGTATTGT